CTGGGTATTGTGCCTCTCTACTGCATGGGTTTGACTTGCACGGGAACCCAATATTTCCACGAGAGGGGACCAGAGAGGGAGAGATAAAGAGAGTCAGACAAAAACAAAGTTATCGCATGGCCAAGCGGAAGAAAAGTCGACCCTGCAGTCGGCCACGTAGAACACGACCTTGGGGTACGAGGTAGGCGTGAAGTCAGACTTGCTGCTCAACAACCACGAAAGAGAAACACGCATGCACCAAGTTTAATCTTTGCCCTTGTCTTTTCGAACCCCTACCTTGATCATTTCAGCACAAGGAAAGGAAAGCGGCTCGCTCTCATTTTTCTTCCACTGGTACTAAAAATAGCACCAGGTGTATGTATTTCGCAAGAGAATGAATCAAGAGTACATATGGAAATCAAAGCTTGACGAAAACGTCTACATGTACCACTGCAATCAGAGCAAGAAGGTGAAAGAGGGACAAAACGCCAAAGGTGAAAAAAAAACTAGAGGCCTAGCATCACCGAAGTGAGAACAGGAACATCAAAGCTGGACGAAACAACACACGCAAAACCGAAAAACCTAAAACGGCCTTCTATCCCCAACTCACCGCAGCGTAAGCCTTGTCTGTGGCGGACCACTTCTTCTGGAGGTTCTTCTTGGCCAGGTCGGAGTTGTCCCACGCCCCTTTCCTCTGCATGTACGGGGTTTTTTCAGGAGGGATCTCTCCCGATTTTACCTGCCGTCGAAGGTAATAGTAGCGTTCGTTGTCGTTGGGTGATCGACATTGTTGTTTCGAATGCTCCCTCTCTTCCTTGTTTGCCAGCATTCCGTTTGCAATGCACAGATCCGTATATGGGAGCAGCAGTTACAATTATAAATTGCTTGCTTGGCGCTACCCACTTGAGGACTTGGAGGATAAAGGGGTCAGTGCTCAGATTTGTCTTTGTAAAAACCAACACACGATAACGATGCCCGGTCATGAAGTCGTACGTACAGTGGCTGCCGGAATTCCCACAGAAGAAGCAATAACTCGGGTCTCTTGCAAGCACCAGAGGTGCTCTCTAGAGTTGGTTTGGTCACGCTCTCTGTGCCGTGCGCGCAGTTTTCATCGGATTGCCCGCGTGGCTTCTACCCCGAAGCCAGATGAGCATGCGCTGCTGCCGTAGTTCTTCCGCTCTGCATGACCACGAAAGGCGTCTCGATCTGCTGTGTTGGCGCATACCGCGTGTTCCGTGGGGCAGCAATGCGGGACGGGCAACCCACCGGAGACCGTGCACGGGACGGAAGCGTCCCGCCAAAGGCCGGAACGAGAACGCCCCCTCTTGCCTGCCCCCCATGACGCTCTAGCTTTCCGTCCGAACCAGATGACAGAGCGTACACCCGTGCGAAAAGCCACATTCACAAGAAAAAAGTGTCGCCATTTTACCGTCCTCGGTGGTCTGCACACACGAGACACACACATGTTACACATGAATGCTAAATATCGCGTATGTCTTGAGGAAAAGAGGTCCGCATTCGTCATATATCGTTGCGGAAGGCGGCGGATGGGTGCTCTCTGCATTTGCCGGCAGGTCAGAAAAAACGTAGGAAGAAACGCAAGAGAAAACGGATGGCGCTTACGTTTTTTTTCTGGCGTTTCTTCCTGCGTTTTTTTCCAGTTTTTTTCCTCATGCGCTGGAATGCAGAGAACCTCTATCCACCGAATTCCGCAGGTATGTATGACGTATGACAGGCATGTTACAACCATCACTGGTAAACCTCCCCCCTCTCCCCGCAAGGTTGCACTTTGTCCCCAACGTTGTTCCAGGTGTTCATCAACGATCTGTTGAAAGTCGTACAAGCAGTCGAAAAGGGAGTAGAGGTGGGGGAAAGCACGGTGTCGGGAATGCTGTTTGCGGATGACTTTATTGGGATGTCTGACACCCCTGAGGGACTGCAATTGACGCGGGGAAGGAGTTTGTTGATAAGTTGAGATTGTCTGCCAACGTTGAGACGAGTGCGGCCATGGTATGCAACGAGGACAGGGAGGAACCAGTAGAACATAGATGGAAGGGGGGGGTCGAGGAGAGCGCAGTAGTGGACCAGTACACATACCTCGGAGTAGAGATCGCAAAAGACTGCTCGTGGAATGCACACATGTCCAAGGTAGCGGAAAAGGGCAAAGCACGAGCAGGGAAGCTGCACCCAATACTCGCAAACCGGCACCTCGATTCACGTATGTATCAAATTGGCGGTTTTGAAGAGCGTTATCGTACCGCCGCTAGAGTACGCCGGAGAAGTATGGGAAGGAAATAAGAAGGTAGTGAAAGAACTCGAGGCGGCGCAGATGAAAGCAGCGAAAGTCATCCTAGGATGCTCCAAGCGCACAAGCAATGCAGCCGTAAGGGCAGAATTGGGGATCCAATCCCTACGGTCGGGAAGAGACGCAAGGAAGCTGACATGGCAGTATCGCATGTGCGGGATGGGAGAGGAGAGGTTGCCGAGAATAGTATGGGAGGCGAAGTGGGAAAACAAAAAGAGGGTTAGACAACCCACGGAATGGGTCAAGGTTGTAGAGGACGTATGGAAGGGGTTAGACATCGACGAACATGAAACGCTGGAAACGGAGGGTTTACAGGGGTTCAAGGAGAAGATATCTGTTGCTTGTGCCGAGAGAGAAGAACAGAATCTAAGGAAAGAAACCAAGGATAAGGAGGGTCTAGAAGTGTACGATGTTGAAAGAAGGAATAGGGTTCAAGGAGTACCTACATGGACCAAATGATGCAAGGACAAAGCTTAAGGTCAAATTCAGGACCGGCGACGTTGGCCTTCGAGAACGTAGCCGAAGATATAGAAAGGTAGACGACGAAGACGCCAAGTTCCAATGTGATTGCGGTTCCGAGTGCGAAGACCGTGTTCATGTAGTCACGGAATGTCGGCTGTACAAGAAGGAGAGGGACGTGTACATGACTGAGCTGGGAAAAGTAGAAGAAAAGTACAGGAAGACGTTTGAGGCATGGAATAGACAGGATAAGACGTTCGCTGTACTGGGGAAAAGGAAGTGGTTTGAAAAGGCGGGAAGGAATATCGGTAGGATAGATAGACTAGGGAAGACATTTTTGAGCCACCTTTGGCAAAGTAGGAAGGAACGATTGGCCATCGGGGATCGATCCTGTGGGAACAATGCTCCGTCCTCTCGAGGACGCGGGGTCAATGGTCTAACCGCTAAGGCATGCAAAACATAAGAGTACGCCCCCCCCCCCCCCCTGGTGGTACGATGTGGGGTATCGGTTAAGTGGTGGGATAACGAGCTGAAAGAAGAAATAGGGGAACGTAGAGAAGTCTTCAAGCAGTACCTGAGTGAGGGGTCTGAGGAGAGTTGGGAAAAGTACAGGGCCAAGAGGAAACAGGCGAAGGGACTAGTGAAAAAGAAGAAAAAGTGCATTTGGGGCGAAGTAGTGCAGAAAGGCCAACGGAGGCCTGGAGGGGAACGCCAAGCAGATGTGGGAAGGGATTAGTGGGATGGTAAAAAAGACCGCGCAAGGGGGGCATACAGGGGTAGCAACTTTGCGAGGTGTGAACGGTGGACTAGTCAGCAGTGGGAAGGAAAAAAGGGAAGTTCTAGCAGGACACTACAAGAGACTTGGAGTGCCTTCGGAGAATGAAGCTTTTGACCAAGTGCTTAAGAAGGAGGTGGACGCATGGGCCCAGAAAGAAGAAGAGACATCGAAGGCAGACGTTGGGAACGTAGAACTAGAAAAGGAGTTCACTGAGGACGAGGTTGAGGCGTGTGTGAACAAGTTGCAGTGCTACAAAGCAGCAGGGGCGGATGGGATAGTCAACGAGTTCATGAAGTTTGGGGGGAAGGGGATGATCCAGTTGATGGTACAGCTGTACAACTGGGTGCGGAAAAACGAGTATGCGCCAAGTAGATGGAGGGAAGGAGTGGTTGTGAACTTGTTTAAAAAAGGAGACAAGACTGACCCAGGAAACTACAGGGATATCACACTGTTGAACACAGTAGGAAAAGTGTTTTGTAAGTTGCTGAACGATAGGATAGTGGGAGTATTGGAGAAGGAACGTAGCATTAGTGAGGGCCAGGCAGGTTTCCGACAGAAGAGGGGGTGCGTAGACCACGCATTCACGGTAGGGAGAATCGTCCAAGGTAGAAAGAGGGCGGGAAAGCCGACGTACTGCTTCTTCCTGGACGTGAAAAAGGCATACGATACCGTATGGAGAAATGGGCTGTGCAAACAATTGTCCAAGTACGGGATCAAGGGGAAAATGTGGAGTGCTGAAGAAGGTGACAGAGTGTACGAAAAGCGCGGTCATGCTAGACGGACAACTGTCTAAGTTCTTCGACATTGAGCAGGCGGTCCCACAAGGTTGCACCTTGTCCTTAACATTGTTCCAGGTGTTCATCAACGATCTGTTGGAAGACGTAGAGGCAGTCGAGAAGGGAGTAAAAGTAGGGGACACGGAAACTTCGGTGTCAGGAATGCTGTTTGCGGATGATTTTGTTGGTATGTCGGACACCCCTGAGGGACTGCAACTGCAAATTGACGCGGCGAAGAAGTTTACTGATAAATGGAGATTGTCTGCCAACGTAAGAAGAGTGCCGCCATGGTGTGCAACGAGGTCAGGGAGGAACCAGTAGAACATAGATGGAAGGGATGGATCGAGGAGATTGCAGTAGTGGACCAGTACACATACCTCGGAGTAGAGATCGCAAAAGACTGCTCGTGGAATGCACACATGTCCAAGGTAGCGGAAAAGGGCAAAGCACGAGCAGGGAAGCTGCACCCAATACCCGCAAACCGGCACCTCGATACACGCATCAAATTGGCGGTTTTGAAGAGCGTAATCGTACCGCCGCTAGAGTACGCCGGAGAAGTATGGGAAGGAAATAAGAAGGTAGTGAAAGAACTCGAGGCGGCGCAGATGAAAGCAGCGAAAGTCATCCTAGGATGCTCCAAGCGCACAAGCAATGCAGCCGTAAGGGCAGAATTGGGGATCCAATCCCTACGGTCGGGAAGAGACGCAAGGAAGCTGACATGGCAGTATCGCATGTGCGGGATGGGAGAGGAGAGGTTGCCGAGAATAGTATGGGAGGCGAAGTGGGAAAACAAAAAGAGGGTTAGACAACCCACGGAATGGGTCAAGGTTGTAGAGGACGTATGGAAGGGGTTAGACATCGACGAACATGAAACGCTGGAAACGGAGGGTTTACAGGGGTTCAAGGAGAAGATATCTGTTGCTTGTGCCGAGAGAGAAGAACAGAATCTAAGGAAAGAAACCAAGGATAAGGAGGGTCTAGAAGTGTACGATGTTGAAAGAAGGAATAGGGTTCAAGGAGTACCTACATGGACCAAAGGATGCAGGGACAAAGCTTAAGGTCAAATTCAGGACCGGCGACGTTGGCCTTCGAGAACGTCGACGAAGACATAGGACGGTAGACGACGAAGACGCCAAGTTCCAATGTGATTGCGGCTTCGAATGCGAAGACCGTGTTCATGTAGTCGCGGAATGTCCGTGGTACGAAGAGGAGAGGGAATTGTACATGACTGAGCTGGGAAAAATACAAAGGGACGTACAGGGAGATGTTTGAGGCATGGAAATAGAGAGGAGAGGACGGTAGCTGTACTGGGGAGTAGGAAGTGGTTTGAAAAGGCGGGAAGGGATATCGTTAGGATAGACATACTATTATAGGGAAGGCATTTTTGAGCCACCTTTGGCAAAGTAGGAAGGAACGATTGGCCATCGGTGATCGATCCTGTGGGAACAATGCTCCGTCCTCTCGAGGACGCGTGGTCAATGGTCTAACCGCTAAAACATGCAAAACATAAGAGTACGCCCCCCCCCCCCCCCCCGGTCCTTGGACAGCCGGGGGGCCCAATCAACCCACAGCATATCGGGTTTGGCACAGCAAACGCAAGGATGATGACACTACCAGCTTCTGGGTTTACCCTTGCGAAACGTTGCCTGGGCCGGCCAAAACCCGGCGGCGTATCGCTCCGTCCAGGTATTGTAAGGGTTGCAGGGTCTATGGTCTAAACGACTACAGAACGGGCCCGGAGATAAAAAGCGTCAAAATCGGGTCGACGCTCAGTGTCTTGCTTCGTCGCCGCTGCTATCGAGCAGACGTTGTTGCGGTAGAGTTTACAATAGGATACACCGCCGAACTGTGTTCTTTAAACCTCATATTCATATTTTTCGTGGAAAACTGTTTCTTCATGAAGCATTTCACAACTGGGGGTCCGGTCTGCAAGTCATGCATTTGCAGGAGTGCACCGTCCCCGCTACATAAGAATATACTCAGGGTGATACTCGTGCCAGAGGCGAAATTTCCGTCTCTATTGCGTGTAGTTCCTGAAGGAAGATATGGGGTACTGTAGGGTCGCAAAGTCATGCGTAACCCCAACATCACCCAGCATGCCATGTGTCGGAAACCCAAACTCGAAGAAGGCCGCATCTATTTCTTCATCGCACCGCGAGACGCGAAAGACATGAATACAGTACAACACCGGCGTCGGTTTTCCAACATGGCTCGGATTCTCCACAGCAACGCAGGCGTTGCCAGCAAAACATACGGCACGGCGAAGCGTCTTTCTTTGGAGAAAACAAAGTAATATGGCAAAATATTCTTAGACGGCACAATTTTGAATGTATAGACTGTCAAAGACGGAACAGTAACGATACACACATTGTTTCCTCGTGTTGAGACACCGAGCTTGGAAGCTCAGCCGGGGGAGTGTGGAATACCGGGCGGCATGCGGTACCTAACTCATTTGGAGACGTCCAGAGTACGAAAGCACGGTGAATGCTTCAGCATGAAACGGCAGGAAAAAAAAACACCCTCTAAGTACCACCGCCGTCCTTTCCATTCGGAATTTTTCTGTGGGGTGCATCGCAAGCTTCGTACGTTTGCTGTGTTTTCCATACCTGTTGCCGGTGGTACCAACCGAACAATGCTTCTGGGGGCCTATCGGGAAGACTTTGCATCCGATGTTACTACAAGAGTTGGTTGCTTGTCGGTTCCGGCAACAGTATAATAATGTTTTTACGACATGAAGAGGAGTCATCCTTGTCTACTGCAAAGCAGACATACACGAAGCATACTGCATTTATGATACGGCAATCACATGATATCATCGCCAACACTCTCAGGGTCATACAGGGCCCACCACGCTCTCGCCTGATGTGTTTTTAAGACATGGGTATCAATCTAGCAGTTTCCAGCCCATGTGGAGTGTGAAATCGACCATGCGTACATACTGTATTCCCTGCAAAGCACGTGGGGTGTGAATACGACGACCATGAAAGTGTGAAACCAACCATGCATACAGATTGGGATCCGCTTCCCCGCAAAGCACGAGGGACGTCTATACGACGACGGACCATGGATACGATGATGCAGCATCTCCGCACCTTCTTGGGGTCTACGGGGAAGAGGTGGCCGGCCCCGTCCTCCTGCCACGCCTGGAGGCTCCTGCTTTTGAAGCTCTTCACTCCCACCTGCCGCGGCAGGCGCACCAAAAGAGATACATACACGATCATCACCGATAAGTTCAACCACACCTACCTGAACAAGATAAGTTTGCAAACCAGGACGTTTGAGGCAATTAAACTTGGCGGAACACCAAGTCATACGGTGTTCATGAACGAAGAAAGCGGTCTACAGCAGTAGCCTTTTCAGGGTCGCCTTGATTGACGTCAAGCAAATAAACAAACTCACAAATAAACGGCCAAGAGGGGCAGAGAGAGAGAACGAAAAAGCCGTACCAGGAACAAGGCTGTAGCACCAAGGATTTCCCGACGGCAACAGTACGCAGCAAAATTGATTAAGGGCGCGGGGGGGATCGCAGTACCTCCTCTGAAAAATCCAGGAAACGCCTGCATATCTCGGTTTTCCAAATTCTAACTCCAGTACGAAACTACCATCGTAAATTAACCGTCCGCAGCGGTCGCTTGTGTACAATGTTAGTAGCTGAGGTTGTACCCCTTGCGATACACTACAGACTAGCGGTCCGCGATTTTCCAAACGATCCTTCTCTCATCGAGTTCGGTGAGCTACAAGCTAGATTTTTGAAGCTGCTGTGCGGTCCAATTTTGAAACGCTTCAAGCACCTTTGCCTAAAGGCTGGACATGCATATACATGACCCTAGGCATTCAAATCGACAATGGCGACCAGCTGGATATGTGAGGGAAGAGCTGCGCTGAAGTTCGCGGCCCCATACACTCACATAGGCGGTGATTCGTGTTCACCATGTGCTTGAAGCGTTTCAAAATTGGACCGCACAGCAGCTTCAAAAATCTAGCTTGTAGCTCACCGAACTCGATGATAGAAGGATCGTTTGGAAAATCGCGGACCGCTAGTCTGTAGTGTATCGCAAGGGGTACAACCTCAGCTACTAACATTGTACACAAGCGACCGCTGTGGACGGTTAATTTACGATGGTAGTTTCGTACTGGAGTTAGAATTTGGAAAACCGAGATATGCAGGCGTTTCCAGGCGTTTCCTGTTTTTTTGAAGAGGAAGTACTGCGATCCCCCCCGCGCCCTTAAGCAAACATATGCGATAAAAGTATTCAATCCGTGCTTTGTGGTTAGGGCCCCCTCCCTATTCTCTTTCTAGATCCTCTTCAAATCCTGCGTAGGCGGTCCGACGGCAAAGAGATGACACAGGAACTTCGAGGTACTGGCATAGAGTACTGGCATCCCACGTCTCCAGGTAGGTGCCGTGCGCAGTGTGTTTACATCGTCACGTGCCATGTTGCACAAGTAATTGTATTGACATCAAACGGCTAGTTGTCGGTAACGTGTTTTGGCCACTCGTGACTAAAATTATCTCCGTGTGCGGCGTGCGCTTGGCGGGCAGAGTCGCCCATGTGCCCTCGACTCCCACCGCAGCCGCAAAGAGGGATGAGGCCAGGCACCCACAAGTGTCGAAGGAAGCGTGTATGATAGCAACGGGGGAACGTGCGCGGGAGGTCCACCATGCTCTTTGGAAGCTCTTCTTCAGTGCTCGGAGAAAAAGTAGATGCACCCCTGGTCGACTACTGCTGTGGTTACATCTCGAACGGGTAGTCTTTCCTCCATATTTTTTCCGAAGAAGGTGCAGTACTTCTGAGTCAGGTCCGCGAAGCACTACAAGTACTACCAGTATTATTTTTCAACACTGATGATACTGCTGTAGTCTGTAGAGAACTGCAAAGAGCACGAGACGGTATTTGGTTTGATAGTTTCCCGTCGTGATGAAAGGATGAAGATCGAGAACTGCAGAGTACTACAGCAGTAGTGCTGTACTGTACAAGACGATAGCACAACCTGACCATCCTCTCCTTTTAGATACCTGCCCAAGGTCGCCCATCTTTTTCTTCTTCTCAGCCTCCTCCTTCTGCATCTTCTTCCACTGCTCGGGGGAAAGGCCGTCAGGGACGTACTTCATGTCGAGGTCGGCGCGACGCTGCCTGGAGCAGCTGCCGCTGCTTTTAAACGAAGGCTGGTGTCGTTGCCCGACACGCAGCATCTTCGATCCTCCTCCTCCGAACGAAGTAATGAAGGCTTCGGCAGGAGAAGCAACAGCAGCAGCAGCTGCTGCCACCAGCACCCCGGACCGGAACGCGTACCAGACACCCATCGCTGTTGTTGCCGCCCCGCACACCTTTTGATGAATATATCAAGTGTTTGGTGTTTCAGCACAGGACAAAGCAAGGTCGTTGTTCTTCCAAGCCGGTCCTGGCAGCGTGTGATCAACGAGCACTGCCTGTCTCTGGGGGGGGGGGGATCTGTGTATGTATGCGCCGTTGCAGTTCGTCGATAGCCAGCACAGCAGCTGGCTCTATTCCTTTGGCTAGTCTATCCCGCCAGATGAACACACACACCATGACTGACGCTGCTGGGGCTCTCTCTTCTTCAGGTGGCTCCAACCGCGATCTGCACTATCCCGCAGAATCAACGTTGCGTTCTTGACCGCTAGAGAGGAGGCTTGCAACGGGGGTTGTGACCGGTGGTTTCAGCGAGAGCGGCAGCAGGACGCTGCTTCGCGTTTTCAAGATATGAGCGTATGTTGTTGAAGCGGAGTTCTCTGGAGTTGTTGTTGGAGTTCGCGATTGTGAGGTTGTGGAGCGGAAGCACATTGAGTTTCGAGGATAGACTCGCCGACCGATATGGTACTCACACAGCAGAAGGTTACAACAGCAGAGTTTTTCACAAAGAACCCACCACAAAACCTAACGCGCTGGGAGCATTTACTATCAGCAGACCAAACACCAGAGCATCGCCTGCCTTCCTTCACAATAACGAACGATGATGACGCTGCACACGGCACAGCCGCCACCAAGGTGTTGCTTTCATCGGTTATCGTGTAGAAGGAGTCCCCTGTGCTCCATTCAACGGCACACTCATAATACGTGGTGGTGCAAAGGACAAGTGCGTCACAGCGAGGCCACTATGGACGCTGTTCTTGCTGCGTAGAGCTCGCACACAGCGGGAAGAGGGAAAAATGAGAAAAACAAAATGCGGCGAAATGTCGAAATCTCGGTACAGTCCCGCGTCCGCTGATTGGCTGGGTTTGTTGATGTCATCTGGCCCGAAGATCTCTCGGCTCTTTGCAAACAAGCGCACGCCCCCACGCCCACGCCCACGCCCCTTCCTCTCACTCTGTTTTCCTGCCTCACATCTCCTCAACACCTTCTTCTTTTCACCACCACCACCCCACAACAAGATGAAGTCCTGCGTTGTAGCCGCTGCCTGCGTGGCCGGAGCCCAAGCCTTCGTGGCACCCAGGTGAGAACAACCGACTACCTACAGAGGGAGAGAGAGAGCGGCACACGATTTGTTCGTTGGGGTCATGGCGACAAAGTAGGCAGCTGTTCTTGGGTGTTTTGGCGCGTCTTGTTGCATGCGCGGCAAGGGCGCGTTGCGGTGTGCTCCCACTCCTCACTGAAGACAGTTCGCGCGCGCCACGCCGCTGTGTGCACCCGTGCATGCGTGTGTCAGCTTGTTTACTACACTGCTTACGCAATCCAATCATGTTTTCTCCGGAAGACTCCGCATACAAGAATGCCGTCAGCTGCCTCCCGTGTTGAATGTGAAATCTTGAGTTTAAGATCCAGGAGTCAACAACGCTTGCTTCTCCCTCGGTCGTACAGCCAGCCGAGGTTGTCCTCGCAACCTTCCCATCACAAGACACACTTTTTCTATTTCGCGTCTTTTCTACACAACTCAACATGTGTTACTACTGTTCAGGGAGAGCCCCAGCGTTTCATGCAGATGCGTTGCCAAGTAGGTCGTCCTCAACAACTCGCGTAATAGTCTTGGTGTTGACTGTGTGGAGCGTGGCCAACAGACTACAAAAGGCATCATCTGTACAGCTTGCCGTTTTTTCGGGGTGCTATATATATGTAGACAACGATCTGAAAACAACTCGCCGCCTCCATGGGCCCTCCCGTCGGATAAATATCTGTCCGTCTGGCGATTGAACAACAACGAGGGTGCACACAGCCACAGTACGCCCACCTACCTGCAACATGTGGACTTCACACCAATACATTATGCAAGTTGTCGCTTAGCAACTGTCCGGAACTTGTGGAGTAATGATCTACCTCACACAGGAACTCTTCAATCGCGGAAATCCAGACAAATACCCAGTTGAATCAAATCGAGTCTTGAACGCTGTTTGTGAACTAAGACGAGGAAGAGAGTAGATTCCAATGGACTTGGGTGATTTTCGTTCGAGCTGGGAACATCAGATCATGGACAACTACTGCTGTTGAATCGCTCGCGATTCGTAACTTTTTCCCTTTTTTCCTCTCTTGCCTCGTCACTGCTGCCATCTATAACCACAGCGCGTTCAAGGGCGCCGCCGTGGCCACCCCGGCCAAGTCGTCGTCGGCCATGAAGATGTCGTTCGAGTCGGAGATCGGCGCGCAGCCCCCCCTCGGATTCTGGGACCCGCTCGGCCTCCTCGAGGACGCGGACCAGGAGCGGTTCGAGCGCCTCCGGTACGTGGAGGTGAAGCACGGGCGCATTGCTATGCTCGCCATCGCCGGTCACCTGACCCAGCAGAACACCCGGCTCCCCGGCATGCTGTCGAACTCGGCGAACCTGTCGTTCGCGGACATGCCGAACGGCGTGGCCGCTCTGTCGAAGATCCCCCCGGCGGGCCTCGCCCAGATCTTCGCGTTCATCGGCTTCCTTGAGCTGGCTGTGATGAAGAACGTGGAGGGCTCGTTCCCCGGAGACTTCACCCTGGGCGGCAACCCGTTCGGGTCCTCGTGGGACGCGATGTCGGAGGAGACCCAGGCGTCGAAGCGCGCGATCGAGCTGAACAACGGGCGCGCGGCACAGATGGGCATCCTGGCCCTGATGGTGCACGAGGAGCTGAACAACAAGCCGTACGTGATCAACGACCTCCTCGGCGCGGGATACACCTTCAACTAAACCACACCCCCACTTTTGCATTCCGTTTGTTCCGACCGTTTTTGAAACGCTTTTGTTTTTTAGGGGGGATGAGGTAAAGAGAAGATTTCAGAGTTGACTAGTTGTTGACGAACGTACTTGTGCGTTGCCTCTGTTGGCCTCTTGCCCCACCTTTTAACGATCTTTCGGACGGCTTCCTTGCTTTTGAGTTTGGTCAACGCGGCTTGTTTAATGCCGGGCGCTTCGCAGCAGTTTCGAAGTTCTTAATAGCCTGTCTACCTTGTCGTCCTTTCGTGACGAACTAGCCTGCTGTACCGAGCATGATGTTGGGAGTCTGATCGTCTGGTCCTTTCGTATTTTTTTTTCTAGGGGTTCTCTCTCTCGGTTTCTAATTGTCGTGACGTCGAGCGCGCGACTCATCTGCTGTTTCTATTCCTACCCTGGTGATGAGTGGTTGAATTGCGTTTGCTGTGATCCCGGTCTTTTCGGCGTACTTTTTTTTTAATCTGCTCTGTCCGGGCGTGTAGGGAAAGGTGGACGAACGAGAAGTTCCAACAAGAAAAAAAAAAATGGATTGAACATTGGGAAGATGTACACTTGCTGTACATTAATGGCCCGCGCGCGTTTTGCGCGTTTGCGGTCGGACGGGGGTTGGTGGTTTGTCGTTTCGTGGTTGGGAGGCGTGTTCCCTCCCACACGTCATGACTCTCCTGAACCAACAGTAGGTCGACGTCGTTTTCCCGCGACCTAAGTCGAGCCCCGAGAAATAGTTGCTGCTTCCTACTTTCCGCCTCCGAAGCATTTGAAAAATGCGCGTTTCGTAGTTTGGCGCTTCAGGTCGCTGTGTAAAAAGCGGTAGGGGCCTACTTGGCCCTCCTCACGGCTGAAACACAACAAATCTGCATGTATCCATACAAACTTATCTTTTCGCTGGACGCTCACGGAACATACTCGCAGTCCGTTCTCGAAATGAACGAAAGCCTTGTGTGTGGGCCGTGTGACCACCATTGGAACAAAGAAGCCGCGTCCGCTTCAAACCTCGGCTCAAAACTGGAGACAGTCGGGCGGGTTTCCACAACTTGGTTGGACGTCATGAGCACTACTGCCACCAAAAAAACTGTATGCGAACCGGCGGCTCTCTGTTGTGCGGCCGATCCAACAAGATCAGAGTCAGTCGACACACACGCAAGAAGTGAGATTTGGCTGCCCTCCCATGCACAGGGGTCCAACAAAAAAAATATATGTATTTCGCGCGAAGCGCGAAAAGAAGGGTCGGAGAGAGGAGACATAATCAAAGCAAGCGTAGATGATAGATATGGATGGAGCCTTGCTGCTGCTGCTGCAGTTTTGCTGTTGATGCTGCCTGCCGCTGCTGCCGCTGCCGCTGCTGCTGCTGTGCATGGGTGATGCGCACTTACTTGCTTTCTTCGCTTTCGCTACTAGCAGAGGGCAACAGGCTCTAAAAATTGGGCCCTCCCACGATGTGCGTATTTGGCCGCCCGTGGCTTGCAGCGCTGTATACGTCTCACTTGTCTCTGTTTCTGGGTTGCGTCTGTTGTGGAAGCAAAGATCGGCCGGCAGACGAAGAGACACCAGACAGACAGAGATCTGACTTGTGTGCACTCGCAGTTCCCTCGCTTACTACGCTGCTAGCAGTAGGCCTCGGGGTCTAAAAATAGCTTCCGATGCCAGCCATGATGTGTGCCTTTGGCCGGCCTTGGCCTACAGCAGTGTGTAGGCCTCGTTTTCTTTGTTGTGGGGCTGCGTCTGTGCGGGAAGCTCCCGCACAAGATTTTCCCTCAGCAGCAGCAGCAGGAGGAGGAGGAGGAGGAGAACGCCTATTTAACACATCATACACATACATACAGCGTGCGTGCGCGTGCTTTTTCTCTTTCCGGAATCAATCCTCCTCCTTCGTTCGGGGGACGAAGGTCCAACGAACAAGATTTGTATCTACCCATCTATCTATCTATCCGAAAGAAAATAGTCGACGGTGGAAGGAAGGATGATGTTGTACTGGTGGTGGTGATCACCTGATCTCAATGAATGATGGTTGCCGCTGTTAAATAACATTAACTTAGCGGCTCGTCGTCGTTCGTTGCTGACGAAAGAAAGAAGAGTGATGATGATGATGATGAGGCAGGCGACGGTAACGACCTCTACTATAAAACTATAAAAATGCTAAATAGTATCATCCCTACTAAATAGCATGATCCCTGTTGTTGTTGTGGTGCTGCTGTTGTTGACAAGAGACCCTCCCCCCTGCAAGCTGCATGCAGTATTTGTACACTTCAAAAAAGAAAAAAGATGGTATATATATGTATACAGCTAATAGTGAGTGTCGGGTGGCAAAAAAACACATACATGGAGGCATGGCCAAAAGAATGACGATCAAGCAAGTGACTGCCGTTCGTTCGTCGACGTCGGTCGGATCGCCCGTCCGTTTATTTTTTTGTGCATGTCCATAAAAAAATAGCAGCAATCGACACGTACGTTCGAATTTTGAGGGAGGTTTGGCAAGGGTCTACAATTGTATGCATAAAAGAAAACATCGAGGAGATAGAATGCACATCATTAATGTAAGACCTGTAAGCTCTCGCAAACACACAACATACATGCTCCACCACCACCTCTCTCTCTCTCCCGGGACTTTTCTTGTGCCTGCTCCATCCACTTCTTCCAGACCACCGAGCCCCCGCCCCCATCAAGGGCAAAAAAACAAAAAACATCCTGCGTAGCCTCCCCCTTGCCATCAACCTGCATTCATTCGTTGCCATGTGCTTTCTTTACGCGTCCTCTGTGTGTAATGATTGGTTGCCTCCCGATGCAACCCCCCCCCCCTCTTTCCCCCCCCCGTCCGTTGTTTTTTCAACGTCACCATCATCACTGTTCACCCAAACACAAAACGCGCGCACAGACCAGACAGACCTGATTTATTTCAGCTATAGGCAACCTACCATCTGTTGTGTTGCTGCTGTACGAAAGGAACAACAAATAATAATAACGACGCCGACAGCAGTAGTAGCGGGGTTCCATCCCTTCCCGACCCACACAAAAAAATCAGTCCAACCGAGGAGTACCGAACCAAGAAAAGGAAAGGAAAGGAAAGGAAAACCAAACCAAACCAAACAAACGAAGACAGGAGAAATGCATACGCACGATTCCACGCAAACTATTTTCTTCGCAAAAGAACGGACGTACTTTTTTGGATGTACATGCAGGTGCAAAACATGCACGCAGGTAAAAGAAACTAACAAGCTCGCTCTCGTTTTTTTATTGGCCTGACTCTCGTTCTTTTTTGTCGCGGGCGGAGGTGATCCTTTGCAGACTTACTCCCGTCCTCCTCGTGTTGACAACTTCAACAACTAACTCGCTACATCTACCGAACGAAAGGGCAGTACTCTGCCCCCCCCCCCCCCCCCCCCCCCCCCCACAGAAAAAAATTTTTTTTCCCCCCCCCCAATTACAT